GCCATTGTTGTGACTTAATGTGTATGTAAAGACGATGAAACAATATTCATATTATGCGTCCTAGTTTTAGATGAGATATTGTCATGAGATGAGTATCGTGATTGGTATGGGGATTGGGCTGTAGTTTCCTAAAAATCTCTAGAATATTTCAACGCTCTGGAGATCTCTTTTCTTTTTGCAAACTTATCAAAAACAGGAGGTGAAACGATCATTGCTTAGGTATACACTTACCACTTACCACAAAGGGCACACTGTTCTACAAAAATATTCCTTGTAAAAATTGATCATTTGATCTGAGAGTGCAAAAAGCTTTGAGACCTAGTGAGTTAAGTACTAATAATAATGTAATCTCCATCATGGAATAAAATTAATAGCTCCTGTAGGAGCATAGATAGACGGTAGCGCTGATCCGGATTAACTCGTTAATTCGGAATTATCTCGGAAATTATGCAGTTGATCCGGTTTAAGTCCTAAAATTAATTCTCAATCTTAATGCGGTTTAGGGGCATTTTTGATGACAACACTTACCAATACGCAGAGCCCAGAATACAAAAAAGATGCAAAACAAGCCTGGACATCTACCTCATCGAGGATAGTCTAAGGCAAACAGCAATTTTTTCATTACAAATTTTATTTAATACAGATTAAAATCCAGATTAACGTGGCGGTCTGCCTATGCTATCTTGATTTTTGACAGCAAAAAGGCGAAAATATGAACTAATGTACACACAAATTTAAAGAAATAAAACTTCAAAATTTTCTGCATTATTCTTGAGAAAAGAGTAATTTTTGGCTGTTTATGATCAAAGCATTGACAAAAAATTAAATGATCTGTAATTTTTCGTGTTTTTTAGAGACTTTTCTGGGATTTCCCCAGAATTTTTTCAAAATTTTTCAAATTTTTTTGTTAATTCTTTGGGGTTTTAGGAATGAATTGAGAATTCTTGTTACTTTTTTGGAAATGATAAAGTTCAGGGGTATATTTAAATCTTAATTCCAGATTTGCAAGCTTTTTGGAGTAATTTACTGCTGCAAGTCGCATTAGCGGCAGAAACAACAACCAAGATTAAGGCAATAACTAAAATGCACCTACTAAAAAAAAAAAACTAATAGAAAACCTACAAAAAATCTATAGTATGCTATAACAAATACAGATTGTGTGTACATACATTTTAGAAACACAGCCATCAGAGTCAAAAAATAACGCTGAATTTTATACGGAGAATTTAGGCGAAAGCTAGCTTAGAGTGAAAAGCTGCTAAGTCCACTTTTTTATGAAAACTCATATTTTGATATAAGAGGCTAGAGAAATTAAAGATGCATCGTTTCGAAAAGGATAAAGGTACTGGTTTTATTTTTCCTCGTTTATATTCAATGAAAGTAAAATTTGCTAAGTTCAGAACAGGCACCGAATTTCCGGTACGACCAAAATAATACGAAATCTTTTAGTACAGATCAAATCCTTCTGTTTCGTATTGAGTTTTACTTTGCTTTATACACACAAAATGTTGTATTCAAAGTTTTGCCAGTAAAATTTTTAAAAATTGATTTAGCAACTATTCACTCTAAGCAAGCGATATACGAGTTTAAAGAGAGACTCATACACGTTTATCTATCCAAGAATGTTAGCATAAAGAAATGGCCCCGCTTGCATGGTTGCGTCATCGCTTTCACGGCCAATCGCCGATAGCATCCTAAAAGTGGACGCAACTGCTTTAGAATATCACATATGAACAAAAGTATGTATATACGCATGTACAGCAGCGGTTAAAATAATAGTAGCAAAATTCAAAATGATATTAATTGCAACTCTTGTTTATTTACTGATTTTTAATAATTTTAATTTAAAATATAGTTCGATCTATAACAGAAACCACAAAAATAAAATTTCTAAAATTCGACAAAAGCACATCAATATTTCTAACTTTTTATACAGAATGTTTAGAAAATTTTCTAGCATGCAGTTTTGTAGCCCATTCAGTTTTACTTAAAGTGCAGGTTTCAAGTCACTAAAAATTACCGTTGCTTTTTTAGAATTTTTTTTGTTGAGGGTATTCAACATTTTCTTCCATGTAACGTATGAACAAAATCTATTTTTATTTGGGAGAAAATGCGCCAAGAAATCTATGTGATTTCTACGAAAAATTATTTTTTCTCATATAAAATACATTCAAATATTTTTTGATTTCAAAATTAAAAAACAGAATTATAATTTGTTTTCGGTGTAGAACAATCCTAGCGGGTGAGAGCACTAGAATTCTGATTTTAATTTTTATTTTTATTTTTTACCACCCTAATGTACATACTGCAATTGAAGTGAAATCCAGATTAATTGTGTTGTTTTTAAGCTTGAACTAGAACTACTTCATTTTGGGTTACTACTACTCCATGTTAAATTGTTGCAAAATATTTTCAAATTGCTGTGTACCTATTTATGTACATATGTAGTACTTACACAGCGAGAAAATCGGAGCTGTTTAAAACTAGAAGGAACTAACTAGTTCATTTTGGCACACTATTTGTAGCTGTGTACACCTTTCAGGTATGGATTTTTCTTAAAAAAAAAAAAAAAAAAATTATTATTATTAAAAAGACTATTGGCAAACTAGTTAATTTTGGTAAAGTATTGGCCGGTGATACCGACTAGATTAGAAATTCTTCAACATATTGGATATGATTTTCTATTTTGTCTGTATTAAATTTAGCATCCACTTCTGGCCACTGGTTTGTGGCCAAGTTGAAAGCACAGGACAACTCTTTTATATGAAGCCATGTCTTTTGTAACCTTCAGTACACTCGCTGGCTGGCACCACATATACTTAAATGTAAATTTTTTATATGCATGTACAAATAAAAGTGAGATCTACACACACACACACACACACACCCATATGCAAGCATACCTCAGCATGTACCCCTGAAATGTAGAAAGGTCAAATTACTTAAACACTTCTGTGTAACTAACCGGCTTAGCAAGTGCATTAAAGTCGCTAATGCGCCGCAGACTAAGGTGCAATGAAAGACTTAAAAACAACAACAATTAAATCTACGACAGAGCCAAAAACAAAAACAGCGACAATGCCATGAGGCAACTCAAGTACAGGCTTGCATTGTACTTTACCTACATACATACATACATATGTAGTACTCGCCTGTCGAAGTGGAAGCTGAAAGAAAACAGTAGCAAAAGGGTTGCCCGCCAGGCGTACGACTATGATGGCGATGATGATGATGATGATGACGCACTGCTGGTGCTGCTGCTTTTGCTGTACTTGGCGATGCAATGACGTTAGTGACGACGTTGACACTATTCTATGCACAGAGTTTTTGTTGGCGCGACGTTGTAATGATTATGAGTTAGGATTTTATATGCAATGCATTTTTATTACCACTTTCGGACACTCAGTTTTTTTTTTTGTATTCTGTTTGTATGTACATAGTATGTACAATGACTCAAACAAATGACCACGTGTTGATTTGTTTTTATATTCGTATTGTTTTTCGAGCTAAATTTTTTGTATTTTTTTTTTATAAAAATACCGTCCAAGCTTTAAGCAAAATCGTATAAATCACAGTTTCAAAGTGCATAGAAAATTTAGGAAAATTAAAAAAATTTTCATCAAAATTTCAACTTTTTAATCTGAATCTTTAGAGCATTTTTGGGTATGCAGTTGTATAGCCCATACAATTTTATTCTAATGAACTGCAAGTTTCAACCCGCTGAAAGATCCCGTTGATTTTTTAATTTTGGCACTTTTTCAATATAATCAAAAATGTCTTATTAAATAAAGTGCGGGAGACCGTTAGCAACAACATTTCAAAATAACAACGTCAGTTTTTGTAAATTGCACTTGTTATATAAAAAAAAAAAAAAACCTAAAATCAGTCTCAACAAAACGAAAAAAAAATCTTAAAAATTAACGCGATTTTTAGCCGATTGAAACTTGCACTTCATTTAACTAAAATTGTATGGGCTATACATTTTCTAAAGATTTAAATTAAAAAGCTTTAATTTTGATGAAAATTTGTGGAATTTTCCAAAATTTTCTATGAAGTTTGAAACTGTGATTATAGTGATTTTATAGCTTTAAGCTAGTTTATAGAAAAATAAAAATAAAAATGTTCCCGAAAAACATTACGAATATTTAAAAAAAAAATCATCACGTGGTCATTTGTTTGAGTCACCGTATGTACATATGTATGTATGTGCGTGCGCGATGTATATCTTTTATTATATTTTATAGTAGTAGAAAATTACTGTGGCAAATGTCGCACTAAAGCAACACAAACAGTGCATGACAATGCAATTAAATGGGACAAGTAGTAGTAGTAGGGGACTGGCGAATAGAGATGAGAAAAGATGACATTAAAAAATAATGTGCTGAGAAAAAAATAAAATATTTTTTCTATAAAAAGGGTTTCAAATCTGGCTACGCGCTTAAGTGCTAGGGAATTAAGTGCGTGAGTTTTGCATAAAATGTGGTTACGGAAAAAAAAAAATTTATTAAAGTGTTGCACTTAAATTTAATGGAAAACGGGCGTTGACTCATTTATGTATGTGAGAGCACTAATTTACGTGCGTCGCTTTTGTGCTTCTGCAAAGGTTTGGTAGATGATATTTGGCGGAAAAGTAAAAGCAATTAGAATTGTAGTATATTTTATACAAATATTAAAATTTCATAACAATGGTTTATTTTAAGTTTAACTTGTTCCATCCTGAGATTATCGTTCTTAAGTTTATTTTATCGTAATCAATATATATCAATTAAATTCAAGGAAAAACTGGGTCAAACAGCATTAAGATAGCCGTTGAACAATTCTTTCGTAAACTTTCTGCTTTCCAAGACACAAATCAGTGCTGCACAATTTAATCAATATCTACAAATATATGTACACATGTACCTACATACATAAATCTTTTAACAAACAATATTTGCAAAAAGCAAATGAATGTTTACAGCTTAAGACCTCAAGAGCAATTTGTTGTAGCTTAAGGGCTGGTTTCTCCAACTCAACTTAACTTAGTTAAGCCATTTTTTGGGCTTATTCATTTTCACCATCTAGGCTAACCTAAGCCGAAAGTTAGCCTACCCTTTAGTTGGCTTATTCTTGACTTACGACAGTGTTGCTGTAGTGCACAATGTAAATGAAAGAAATAGTACTTATTTCGTTTGTACAGCTATAGCAACCCCGCTATAATAATCTTGGCGTCTTTATTTGAAGTGGTTTATATTTCTGTAAATTTTTGTAAATAATAATGGATTTTGTAGATTCAGATGAAAGTGATTTCGATTTTGATGTTCTACAAGTAATCGTTCTTCGACGAAAAAGAAAAATAAAAGAACGTCCTGATTTTTTTCATTACTACGATGATGTTGATTTTCGTGATCGATTTCGTATGTGCAAAGATGCTGCTTGGTTTATTTTTTCTTTAATAAAAGAAAAAATTTATATTGGAACACGGTAAGATCATATCATTTGACGAATGTAAATGTTTTTTTCCTAAATTACTTTTCCATTGGCAGCAACAACGCTATGCAACCACATCAAATGTTTTTCATTACACTCAGGTTCTATGCATCAGGATCTTTTCAGCAAACTGTGGCAGATCTTTGCGGCGTTTCAAAAACAAGTGCATCACGGGCTATTAAACTTGTATCTCATCATATTGCTTCTTTACGGGCAGATTTTGTTAAACTCCCTCAGACGGAACAGGAGCGTTTGAGCACACAGGCTGCTTTTAAAGAAATTTCAAATTTTCCGCGTGTAATTGGCGCAATGGATTGCACCCATGTTAAAATCATGTCGCCAGGTGATTATGTAAGATTACTAGTTAAAAAACAATAGTAATAGCACCATTTCTATACAGGAGGTGATGATGGTGAAGTCTTTCGTAACAGAAAGGGTTTTTTCTCGTTCAATGTGCAAACCATATGTGATAGCAATTTAAAAATATTAGACATTGTCGCCCGATGGCCAGGATCGGTTCATGACTCAAGGATTTTCCGTAATTCGCGTATTAGCTACCGATTGGAGGCGAAGGAATTTCTAAATGCAGTCATTGTTGCTGACAGTGGTTATGAAAACACGAACGTCGTGTTGACGCCGCTTTTAAATTGTAGAAATAGAGCAGAAAATCTGTATAATGAGTCGCACATCAGAACTCGAAATTGTATTGAGCGCTCATACGGTGTGTGGAAGCGCAGATTTCCCGTGCTATCCATGGGGATTCGAATGAAGGTCACGACAGTTCCTTACATTATTGTTGCAACAGCAGTACTGAATAATGTTTGCATTCGCTTTAATGATAAAACTGCACCACAACTTGTACCGGAAATTGATGATGCCGTAACTAATGTTTTAACAGTTCCACCAAACCGCTCAAATGAAGGACGTTCTCGAAATGACCAAACAAGAAAAACAATAATAGATACATATTTTGCTCAAATGTAACTTTATTATTATTATTTATCGGGAAGAATATAATACATACAATATCTGTGGTCATAAGCAGTAACCGCCTAAGTAGACTTAAGAAAGAATTGAGTTATATATGCTATGGTATTCTGCAACGACTATTCCATGTGTATGTGAAATCCCCATCTCGCCAGCCAGCCTATTTAAAAGGTTAAAGACGAACATATTTTGGTTTCCCCATAAGGTTAACATTATAATCCAAATGTTTAAAACATTTTTTCTCGAAATCAGGTTTTTCGACTTAGGCGGTTATTGCTCATGGCCACTGATATATGAATGAATGACTGAGTGGAAGATCGACCTATCTCGGGAGCCAGTTGGAAAACGCCCTATCTCAGAAAACTTTTCAAGAACGCCCTGCTTCAGTATTTGATTGAAGAAGAACGCCCTACTTCAGAATTTTATTGAAGAACGCCCTATTTCAGAATTTTATTGAAAAACACCCTATCCCAGAATTCGGTTCAAAACGCCCTATCTCAAACGAAAATACATTGAAAATGTGCTGAAATAGAGCGGTTTTGAATCGGCAGCTAAAATAGGGTGTTTTTGAACCAAATTCTGAGATAGGCACCCCTATTGCGAGTGTCGACTAGTAGTAGATAAACGACTATTAGTCGACTATCGATTCTCCGTGGTATTTTCAAAGTCGTTTTCTCGTTGAATAAGTGAGTGGGAATAGTTTATAGTCGCACATCCTTTTACAATACAAACAAACAGTTGTAGAAGGATGAGCGACTAAAAACTATTCACAGTCGCATATTGAACGATAAATCGACATTCACAATACCATGGAAAAGCTATAATCGAAAAATAGTCGTTTATCTACTACTAGTCGACACTCGCAATAGGGGTGAGGGTGTTTTTAAATAAAATTCTGAGATAGGGCGTTTTCGAACTGGCTGCCGAAATAGGTCGCTCTTCCACTCAGCCATCGATATGTATGTAAATAAAAAATTGGAGGGCAAGAAACTATGGTAAACGACTCCAAAAAAATTAAATTATAAGGGGTATTCACTAAATTGACCAAGTGGTCTGGCACTCTGGCAAAAGAGCAGATTAGCTCAAACAACAACTTTTGTCACAGTCGTTGCTTGAGCTATTCTGCTCTTTTGCCAGAGTGCCAGGCCACTTGGTCAATTTGGTGAATATCCACATATCGTCACCTTAATTCCCAAAGGCCCTAACCAACACTTTTTTCGAAACCGCGTTTTCCACAGATTTTTGTAGGATGTATTACAAGACGCGTTCAGTAAAAATTTTAAAGTGTAAGTTTTTGATAGTTTTTATAATCGGCCCTATTATGGTTGTCGACTTCAACGCCGAGGTAATTTCTTCATAAAAAAATAGCCATCGTAAGTCCAACTCCAGTAACGCTGACCACAGTTTTTCACTGAACGCGTCTTTCAATACCTCCTACAAAAATCTGTGAAAAACGCGGTTTCGAAAAAAGTGTTGGTTAGGGCCTTTGGGAATTAAGGTAACAATATATAGTTTGATATACAACTTACATCCCATTAGAAAATTATAGATGCTAACCTATATATATATTGTCATGTGGAAAATAATAGGGACACGATATTTTGAACAGTTTTGGCAATTATTCTTTTGTTTGTTTAATGTTTATTATTTTTTTATAAAAATACAGCTAATTATCTAACAAAAATCATATATGTACATATCTTAGACTGTAATATTACATATGTATTAATAAATAAAGTATAACGTAAATAAAAAAACAAAATATTCCATTCAAACAAAACAAAAACAAAAAACTTCGCATATTACTACTACACTGGCGATCAAAACCGGGTGCATGGTGTTTTTTTTAAACATATACAATGATTTCAAAGTTTATAGAGAAGTTGGAGAAATTTAAAAAAAAATTTCATTAAAATTTCGAGCTTTTTAGACTGGGTTTAATAAAATTTATGGGTATGTAGTTGGATCTCATGAAATTTTAGTAAAATAAGTGCAAGTTTTAAGGGGCTAGAAAATCTCGTTGATTTCTAATAATTTTCTTCTGACGGCTTTTGCTGTTTTTTTTTTCATATAAAAAGTGCAATTTATAAAAACTGGAGCAAATTTTGTGTGCAAACACATTTTCTACACAACAAATTCTTGTTTATATGGAAAAACCGCAAAAGCCGTCAGAAGAAAATTATTAGAAATCAACGTGATTTTCTAGCCCCTTAAAACTTGCACTTATTTTACTAAAATTTCATGAGATCCACCTACATACCCAAAAATTTTATATAAACTCATGCCCGGTTGCACCAATAAATTTTAAATTTATCAGCCTGTTAAAATTTAAAATGACAAATTTGTTCAGTCTGATAAGTTTTTAAATTTATTGGTGAAACCGGACACCAGCCTAAGGAGTTCGAAATTTGATTTTTTTAAATTTTCCAACTTCTTTATAAACTTCAAAATCATTGTAAATATTTAAAAAAGACCATGCACTCAGTTGTATATTGTCTGCTGATTGGAAGATCGGCCTATCTTAGCAAATGGCCGAAGAAGGCCCTATTTTATAATTTGTTTCAAAAACGCTCTATCTCAACTGCCGCTTCAAACACGCACTATCTCAACATATTCTCAGCTGATAGGGCGTTTTTGAAATACATTATAAAATCTGGCGTTGTTCGTCCATTTGCAGCAGGCGATATACAAATATGAATTTATCAGGAGGTTCTATAATTCACGGCCGGGTGAATTTCAATAAAATCCGCTTTGATTCAAATTGGCATTGGTTGAAATTTACTCGGAAGTGAATTGTAGAACCTGCGAGTATAAAAATATTTACACGTTATATAACTTTTTTAATTCCAATTTTTCTTTTTCTAATCGAACGCTAAGTATTTCCATTTCTATGGCCTGACGTTCCTTATGTTGGAGAACCTCCAACTCGTGCCTTTCGCGCATGAGCTTCATTTGTAGCTCCACTCTCTCCTCTTCCTTCTTTGCCAAAGCAACGTCTGCCTGGAATTTAGACTCTGTCCATTTGCTTTTGATAGAAGCCAGATTCTCCCAGGACGAGGTCTTCGGGTTTTTGTCACACAGTCTTCGAGGTGTCCACAGTGGTGCGCTCATCTTCTTCCTTAGTGTGGCAGGACCGGGTAGCGGTGTTTCCAATGCGGGTGAAGTACTGGTATTGTTTTCAGCAACTGGAAGTATACAACATCAGAATTTCAACAATTTAGGAATTTTAGGAACTTACGATGAACATCCGCCAGCACAGTATCTGAATCGCAAGTATTCGCAATACCCTCCATCTCTTTGTCATTTAACATTGCCAACATCCTCTCCTCTACACCTGTCAAAGGGGTTGAAGGTGTTGCAGGACCACCACCAGTGCCATAGATGCCTCTCCGCTCTTCAGCTGCCTTGGTCTTTGTAACATATTTTATGTTTTTATATTTTTTTTTCAGTTCCTTGGATTCGCGTAAAATTTCGTTTGTGGCGTTGAATTCCTGCGTAATCTTTTCCCATGCAACTTCTTTTTCCTTTGAACTGATGCAGTCAGTTTTTTTGCATTCAATTACACTACTGTATTTGCCACAAATTTCAAACAATTTGTTCGTCTCGGACGCATTAAATGTAGATTTTCGCGACATATTTCCAAATTCTTAGTAAAATATACGTATACCGAATCACAACAGAACATAACTATTTGAAATATACACGCTAGACAACCCAGCCAAAACGTAGGAAAAAGACTACTATTTAAAGAAACAGCTGATAGAGTTACCGTGTGCAAAATTATTAAGTCGCTCAGTTGGAGAAACTGAAAAAAGGCTTAGCGCAAAATCGTAGCTAACTTAAGTTATAAATAAGTTTAAGTCTAAGTCTTATTGGAGAAACCAGCCCTAAGTGTTTTCGCTTGAATCGGCAGCAACCACGAGACACAGTGACGCCACTGCGGCGACAAATGGAGAAGGCTCGAATCGACTAGATTAAATATGTATTTAATATGTATGTATGTATGTACTATATACCAGTAAGTTCAGAACGCACAGCCGAAATAAATGCTCATCGGAACTTATACATACATACATGTACATTAGGCCGTACCACCAAACAAGCAAACAAAAAAACGTTCGTCGTACAGCACTGAGTCTAAATTATTTTTGAAAGGCAATTTAAAAAAAAATAAATAAAAAATCCGAACCTAGTCGTCGCTTTTTTTACGTTTTTCGTTTAGACCTATGTACATACATACTTACTCGTAGATTCGGGAATAAAAAAATTAGTGTTAAAATAGTTCTGCTGGAATAATCGAAATACTTCCTTAGAAAAAGATAAATGATTTTTGGTGAGCTTTAATTTACTCGCATTAGGATGGTACGTTAGATTGATAAGAACTGTGATCTGGTGGTTAAGTTTTAGAACAGGGTACTTGAGGTGAATGAACTTTGAAATAGAAAACACTTTCTGGTCGAGACAAGAACATCCAAATATTATATTTTAAGATCCGACTGTAAATTCTGAAGATAGGAATGACGATAAATTTAAAAAAGCGACCCTACTTTCGAACAAAATTTTTTTCGAAATCGCCGTGCAAAAATATTTTAGAATCTAAAGTTTAGATTCGCAGGTGTACGGCGAACTCGTTTTCTAGTGAGGTATAATGTATATATTAGGGTGGTTATTAAAATATGAACGTACGTAAAAAATAAAGACATCCACAAAATTTTAAACAAATTTTTGGGTTATTTCGCTATGAGGATTAGAAAAAATTTAAATTGTTTTTTTTTTTTTTATTGGAAAAATTCGACAAAATTTTTCCTTTGACCACCTACAACTCAGTAATATGTCAAATTTATCAAATTTCAAGTCAAAATTTTATTGAATTTACGCCATCTAAAAAAAAAAATCAATTTTTCCAACCTGGTAGCGGCACCTAAACATTTTTGTGAACTGTTATGGATATCTTTATTTTGTGCGTAGAAAAATTTAGATGTTGATATTTTTAAGAAGCAAAACGTATATGTACATTAGGGTGCATCGCCACAAAAAAAGTAACGGTTTTTTCAACGGAATCATAATATTTCGGAAAAGTATTAAGATTTACATCAGCTGGACCCTTTTGAAAATACCTCCAAAAATCTGATTGTTTTGATTTTGTAGCTCAAATAAAAAAAAAAATGGTATGCAGATCTTTTAAGCTGAAGCGCTTCTATGAACTGAGGTAATTTTTAGGAAAAAAGTTTTTTGAAAAAACATTTTCTTTTATAAAATAAACTCAATTTTCGGAGGTATCCTTAAATGAGTCCAGCTCATGTAAATCTCAATATTTTTCTGAATTATTTCGGCGGAAGTCTTAAAATATAATAAGTTTTATAATTCCGATAGAAAAACGTTACCTATTTTTTTTTTTTGTATGGAGAGTGATGCACCCTAATGTACATACTGGAAATTTATTAAGAGGAGTATGTATGTTTCATTTCGGCGTAGTGAAGAATTTAAAAATCTAAAATAACATGTATGAACGGTTGAAAGTAACGACTGGACATGAATTTTTTGTAATTCATAAACTGTAAATAAATCTTTGATAATTTTAAAACTATATTTTATGGTGTTTAAACGACGTGACATAGTCAAAAATTAGACATAAATGTTTGATTATTTTAAGACTGGACATACATTACATAATTTTAAAAATTTCGTATGAATTTTTGGTCATTTAAAAAATTGGGCAAACATTTTTGGGAATTCAATAACAGAACTTGATTTTTTGGACATTTAAAATAAGGCATGCATTTTTGGTGATTTGAAAAGTGGACATATTTTTTTAGACATAGATTTTAGGAGCATAAAAAATGGAACTTAAATTTTTCGCCATTTTCACATACTTTTTAGCGCATACATGTCTAATTTAAGAAACTGGACATAAATTTGTGGCAATTTAGTAGTCGAAATACTTTTTTTTAACTTAAAGGTCGGACATAATTTTTGGTAATTTAAAAGTGTAAGTACTTCTTTGTGAAGTTTTGGTAATAAGAAAAAATTTTACATAATTTTTGGGCACATAAAAACATAACTTAAACTTTTGGACATTTAAAAACCGTAGTTTATTGTCGTAATTGACCAAAAAGAGAAAGCATTTGAAAACCGTGCTTAGTTTTTCTAGATCTTTTAAAAGCTGTACTTAAATTTTGGACCTTATATTGAGTATGTAAAGCCTTAGGCACACATTTTCAGAAATTTTAAAACTGGACATAAATTTTTGGTACTTTAAAAACCGGACATATTTTTTGCTAATGTAAAAAATTGTAAATTTTGTTGTAAGTTCGAAACATTTCATGCATTTTTGGACAATTTAAAAACTGGACATAAATTTTCTGCTTGATTTAAAAACTGGCCATCAATTTTTGTTTACCTACGAATGTGACATATTTCTCTGTTAAAATATAAGTTAGAAATCGAGCCATCCAAAAATTAATCCACATTGGAGCTTATTAATATCCATTGTTGCTCTCCGTTTTTCCTATTCCTTTTCCCTAATCAATTTCATTTATCACAAATATTCTCTTTTCCATTGCAGATTAATCGATTTAAGTGCTGAAGGACACTTCGCTTACTAAGTAAGTTACGTGTAACAAGATATTAAAAACGGTTACGCACAAAACATTTTGAACAGCCAGCAGCAATGTGACTTGTCATGGCTCCATTCAAGCGGCATTAATGCCATATTTATTGTTGGGCACTGGCTTAGAGCTGCCGTTGAAAACGTCTTGGAAATATTGGAAAACAGAAGGGAAGGAGAGGGACAACACGTACAATGGGAAGCTCTATTAAAATACTGCATGAATTATGGGAAAATTGATTATTCTGCATGTCTTTTGTATTAGAAATGAAAGGAAACTTAATTAAAAATAAGCAGTGGCAATGTGGATGAAGGAGTTTTTTACGCTTTAGTGAAAATGTTAAAGGAATTCGAATATAAAAAGAAATATTCGTGAATGACATAAAAAAATAAGAAAAAGAGCAACAATATGACGAACGAGATAGCTGTTTAGTTAAGGACAATAGTGAAGATAAAATGAGAGAAAAAGTGAAGGAAGCTTTAGTAGCGGGTTTCTAGGAAAATATTATCTTTTTTGTAGCGAATTTATTCAGGGCTAGACATTTTATTAGCGGCTTTCTAGGAAAATATTATCTTTTTGTAGCGAATTTATTCAGGGTTATATTCAGGTATCATTTTTCAATTTCAACGCTCTAACCAACGCTCGACCACCAAAATATATTTTTTTTGGTTTAAAAAAGTCGAAATCAGTTCTTTTTTGGGAGAGTTAATGGGTTAGAACTTATTATAAATATATACTTCGTAAAATTGTTATATACAAAATTTACTCCCCAATTTTTTTTTTGGTGTGAAATATTTTTGTTACATTCTTTATCGAAAAAAATAACACGGCTTTTTTTTATTTCATCATGATGTTCGAAAATCTAGGGAAAAAGTTTCGAAATTTTGAACTCACAAAGAAGTATCATTTGTCAATTTCGCAGTTCAAAATTTCTGAATTTTTTTTTTTACATTTTCGGAATCATGATGAAATAAAAAATAGTTGTTTTTGTATTTTCGATAAAGAGTGTAAAAAATATATTTCACAAAAAAAAAAATATTGAGGTTCAAATTTTGTATGGAATGACCCATAAACACAACATTTTTAGTGTTGAGCGACATATCAAAAATATGTTTTCAGGAGTTTAAGAAAAACGTGACAAACAAATAGTCTATTGAAAAAATCGCGTTCCATTTTTTATTAGTTTTATCCTAAAAGCGCAAACAGTCAACGACGTGGTGTAGACGTAGGTTGACGCAGACACGATCTAGCTTATGGGATTCGCGTGTTAACGAAAACTCACCACCGCATGGCGGTGACGTTGCCGTTGCATCTCTCTCTCTCTATCAACAGTAAATTTTATATGCTGCTACGTACGTCAACCCACGTTTACGCTGCGTCGTTGACTAACTGAGCATTAAGGATTTTAGAACAAAAAAAAATGCCCAGGTAAACTATTTATTTAAAACTGAAGAGCCATAAAAAATCAACTGAATATGAAAATAATACTGAAGTTTTTTACTATAAATGTGGGTATAGTATGTACTTGTATCTCGTTTATTTTACCCTCGAAAATGACTGTTCGCACTGTGGGTTGGAAAACAAATATGCAACATTAGTATTAGGTATCGTACGGCCTAAAAGTAGGCAATAAAACACAACAATTAATCGAATTGGTACCAAGAATAATAACCAAAGAGGATTTTCATAGTCGCCACATTAAATTTATCTCACTAAAATTCTCTAAACAGTTGTTGAACGTTACCTATCTTTCAAAAACTCGGTACATATTGCTACTTCTAGGCTTTCAAGTTGCTTATTTTTAGCTATATCTGTAGAGTCTTTGCCCGAGCCCGAGAGGAGTATTTCAGATTTTTTTGTGGTCTCTGAGTTGTACCTCCAGAAATGGCGAGTGAAGTTCACGAATTTCAAGGAAATTTATGCTTGGGCAAAACTTGCTCGGAAAATGGCTGTTGAGTGGAAAAGTAATAAAAACATTGGGAGGGCTTTTTCGCAGCACTCTATGCGCAATAAAAGCATCACCGAAATGGATGGCCATTGCGGGCTAAAAAGTACAAAAAAAAATAAAATATTGTAGAAAACAAATTTTCAGGTTAGGCACAAAAAAAAAACAAATTTCAGCCGCTTGTAAGCACCAGTTACGTACATATTTATGCACATATCCGTTTACAAAATGTTATTTGCAAAAACCATTCATGTAACTTGGGCAAAATCTATTCCGGCGCAAGAAACAATCAATTCAGCTCAAGCCCCAGAAATTTATGGGAACACAGGGACCGACCGACCGCTGAGCTGGGCACAAAATGCGCAACAATGCACTTGCCAAATGATGATGAGCATTAGATTGGTGGATGGCTGGGTGGCGAAAAAGCTGCTGGTGCAGCACCAGAGACTATTTGGTTTGTTGCCAAGCGGCTTATTAGGCTTTTGTGCATTTGCACAGGCTACTCGTATGTATGTATGTATGTATGTGGCTTTGTAAATATGAGCACTTAATCCACTTGCGCGCATAACAAACAAACAAAAAAAAAACACATAACATTGGCATACATACATACATATATGTATGTAGTACACATGCATATCGGCAAACATATATACACACATAAATTTACGTGTTAACCACCGGCCAAACATGCGGGTTGAACACCCTTGTGCCACTTATTTGACAGTGAATCCACCCTTTTGTGGCAGCAAAATGTTTAAATATTCGAAAAATCATCGATTAGGGGTGATTGAGGCGTTGGGTATGGCATGTTTACAACATTGTTGTCAGTTGTTGTTTTTGTTTACTTATTGTGTAGAGATAATTATTGCTAACCACTTGACACACAAGCGTGTCAAGGCGGAAAAAATGTGTGTGATTAGGTTAAATGATTTGAAAAGTAAGTAAGTAAGATGCGAGTTGGAGTGTGGGCAGATTGGGTAGGAGTGAAAAGCTGTGAATTTTCGTAATTAAAAGATGAGACATTTTTGGTATGATGATCTCTTTACATAATATTTATTTATATTCACGGACACATTAATTGGGGCTATTTTTCATAGCTGGGAACAACATTTTTAGACACCTTTTTTATTTCTAAATTTTAGGTATTCATTTGCAAATTTTACTAGCATTGATTTATTGTTTCTTATGCAACTAAGCTGCTATTATTAGGGCAGTCGTAACACACAGAAGTTCTTCATCTTCAGCGATTGCTATTTATCTATGGACATACATACATATGTATATGGCTATAGAATTTGTAGAGATGAGAAAAATTTAGAATGCAACCATCAGCTTCTATATGAGTGCACAGTGCTTCGAAGAAACCACCACGAATTTCTGGGGACCACTCCTTCGACAACTTAGACTGCTTAGGAGAAAACTCTGTTTAAGGGGTCTAAAAGAAAGAGAGAAAATTAGGATGGCGTAAAGATGTTCCATACTGAGAGTCACAGTAGGGTCGTCTAACCTAAACTATTAAATGTGTAAATCAACTTCAAACATATTTAACTTTTTCTACTCAGAGATATACAGAGGGTCTTTGTGACCCATTTTAAGGCCGCTTAATCTTTTAGAAAATTAAAAAAAGGGTATTTTTTGGCCATTTGTCTACAAAAAAACATCGAATTATTTTTAAAAGCGGCGGATAGAGAGTTAAAAGTCCTTTAAAATTTCGAAGCAGAAAATTTTACTAGCCTGCACCTGTTATTAAAATATAAGGCGCGGGTCTTTTGACCCAAAGTTACATAAAAAATAATTAAAAATTTATAGCGAAAGTGTTTTGCAAATATTTGAAGCACAAAAATTTTTTAGTTTTGGATATAAAACTATTGGAATGTATGGAAAGTCCGTAAAAAGAATTTTCAAATGAATGCCAAAATATAAAAAAATTTGCAAAATGGTTTCTTCGCCCAAAAATATTTTAAATAACCCTCTTCCTCTTTTTTTCTTTGTTTCAATTTCAAAACCTATAAAATACGTTTTCCTAATTTTTATTTATTGAAACTATCCTCTTACAAAATTATTAACTTTTTTTTATTAAAAAAATAGAAATAGATATTAATTTTTAAAAGCTAAATTTGCAGTAAAAATTTGAATCTAAAAAGTAAATTTAACATAGTACAGATTTTTATCAAACGAACGCCAAAATTATAAAACAAAAAGAAAACAATTTAGGAAGTCAAAGTTTGTAAGGGTTAGCGCACCGAAAAATATTTAGACAAGTCTCTTCCAATAAATTTTTTTTTCTGAAATTTAAAGAGAAACAAGTTTTTTTTAGATGGAAAAATTAGAACATTTTCTCTTTTATTTTTAAGCTATTTTTTTTTTATAAAAAAATTATCTAAATGGTGTCGGCAAAGAAACTTAAAAGACCGAAAAATTGTAGATAATTTTTAGTATTTTTTGGCATTCTCGTAAGAAAAGCCTTTTCTGCTGTCCATCAAACAAAGGAGAGACCAAAAAAAAAATTTAAATTAAAACAATAAAAGAAACAATATTTGCCATAAGGTTTAACAAAACTATGTTTCAATGAAATCGGGTCTTAAGACTACAAACAGACGGTCAAAAAAATAATACGTAATACTAAATCAAAAAAGGCAAAAATAATTCCACTTACCAAAACATTCTTCTGATTCTCCTTATCCAACAGGAACTCCATGCTTTTGTGCGGTCGACGCACCGACGCAATTTGACTACCATTCGCCGTTGTTGATTTGATGACAACAGTACCACCGCGGCCACCAACATCATGCCCACCATACACACGCACATCATCCTCATCCAAATCGCCTTCAAAATAATCCGCATCGTCACCACACGCCGCGCTCATATTCAACCGTTTTGCCACGCCGCCACCGATGGCACCGACGCCCCGACCGCCAACAAGACCGTATTGTTGTTGTTGATGCTGTTGTGGACCGACGATATCCACCAAGGAACGCGTCTTACCCGATATAACCGTTTCATGCGTATCCAAATTCGTTTCGATCAACCCGATTTTGTTGTTATTATTGGTGTGCTGCAAATACGCATTCGACATGGTTGTATAGGTGGGCGCAACAACGCGCGCGTTCCCATCGCTGCTAGCGGCAGCGACACCACCGGGGGAACCACCGGTTGTTAATAACATAACGGTTTCGCGTGCTACACCCGGCAAGGAATAACCGCTTTGAGCCGTCTCTTGTGCTGTCGAAGGAGTTTCGTACTCCACACTATATTCGCGTGCTGCTGCTGCTGCTGCTGCGGCAACACTAACCGGTACACTAGAATTATTTGTTTCGCGTACGCTATCTTGTTGTTGCGGCGTTACTACTACGTTCGTATCTTTGAGCACGTTAGCGGACGCGTGCACGTTTATTGGCGTTGATGTGACAGCGGTGTTGCCGTTCGCTTGCAAGCCCGCATCTAACTGTTTTTCGATTTCTTCATCAGCATAGTACGAACGTTCGGCATCGAGAAAATCAGTGTAGAATTGGCTACGCGACTTGAAGTTGGCTGCATTTGATGTACCCGTGCCATCCTTGTGCGCATGTGCCGGCACACCGCCACCGCCCTGTCGCCGGCCACTGCCAAAGTATTTGGTTATAATAGTCGTGCTTGAGGTGGTGGCCGGTACGGTGCCGTAACGATAGGGCTTCGGCGGCTTGCCGGTAACGAGCGGCTCACCATTTTTATCGGTAATGGCACGCATATCACTCATGTCGCTGCCGCTGCGGTTCGAATTGATAGTAGAGTTGTTGTTCGTGTTGTTATTGTTGGTGGTGCTGTTGTTTGGTTTGTTTGGAGTAGCTGTCAGTGTTTGTTGGCCTTTGGCGCCAACTTTTGCATCAGCTGGGCTAAAGTTGGCCGGTAGTGTAGTGGAGGCGCCGCCGCCGCCGCCACCGTTCGCGGCAGTCATAACCGATGGTGGTGGTGGTGGTTGTGTACCTGCTGGTGGTATAGGACCTTTTAACGGTATGTATATATAGTCGGGTCCACTCTGAGCGGACGCGCGCTTAGTTTTATTTGTTGTAGATGAGGACGACGGCAACTGTTGTGCAATTGCTTGTCGCTGTTGTTGTTGTGGCAGTGTTGCCGACTTACCGAAACTTTTACGCATCGTAGATTTATCCACCCCATTTTGCTCACCGCTCTGCTGCTCCTGCCACTCTTTTTGCTGTTGCTGTTGTTGCTGCTGCTGCAATTGTTTTTTGTTCTTGCGCCTCAAGGAGAAGCGCAAGCCATGCGCAAAACGCGACAGAAAGCCCTTCGAACTGGGATGTTTTTCATCCTTGAATTTCCTATTCAATAGCTCATTGTTATTGTTTGCTGCCGCTGTGGCAGCGCTGCCACTTTGGCCACCCACACCCGCACCCACTGTGGCGTTAGACATTTTGTAGCGCGTCGTTTGCGCAACACTCAAATTACCAACACTTTTAGTACGCCTATCTGTTACGCTGCCCCCTACCTCACTTTCACTCTTATTAACGTTATTTTGATAGTAATATTGCTCACTTTGGCGCCGCTCGAAATTGTCGAGCAGCTGCTGAGACGCGTACAAGATGTGATGCGCGCGATTTACGGGCGGCTCACTCAGTATCGGCAGGTGTATGCTGAGCGGACGCGTTTGTTCATTACCGCTACTATTACTAACACTGGCGTTATCTTTAGCGCTAGCACCGCCTCCACTTGCACCTTCGCTGAAACTACTATTCCGATTAGATTGCGACGCGGCGTCGTTTTTGATTGCTTCGTTATTTGCGCCACTTGATTTTTGTGCGACCGTCGTTTGTTCCGCTTTCACAATATTCGTTGTTGCATCAATGATCGTCGATTTGTGACTAACATTCACATTCACTGTTCCAGCGTTCACCGTTTCGTTGTAGTCAGTTGCAGCGCCAGCTACCTCGCCTGGCGCGTTTGAGTCGAGTTTTAATGCTTCTCCCTTTGTTTCAGCGCTGTAGTCTCCGCTGGCTTTGTGCGATGTTTTTGCCATGGCTACACTCTCTACCTGTTCTAGTAGCACGCTCTCTTCCAGAGCGCCTTGCTCTTGCATGCGTGCGCGCTCTCTCTCTTGCTCTTCGGCTGCCACTTGACGCTCTCTTACAATTATCATTGCTCTTACTTTCTCAATGGGCACCGCTCTAATTTGCGCCACACTCTTAGTGGCATTGCCCGCGGCGAGCGCGCTCTTAAGTTCAGCCGCATAGCGCGCGGCAATAATTTCATTCACACGCGTATTTTGTATGACTGTGGCGTCCGCATTGTCCAGCAATTCATCATCTGTTTCCTCCTGCTGCGCGTTCTCGCGCTCCTGCTGCAGCTGCTGCTGTTGTTCGGCATATTCCTCAGAGGACTGCTCCTGCCAGGAGTATTGCGACACGACCGGGCAGAAGCTCACTTCTTTGCTGAAGGAGGTGCGCGAGCCTGCGGACAGCAGTATGCCCAGCGGCTTTTGCGCTGTGGTCTGCGGCAGCTGATGCATGGAGGTGTGCGCGCTTGATACGTACATGTCGTCCTCCATTTCGTCTGCGTGTGGATCGTAGGCATTCAAGTTGGGCGTGCTAGACACCATGTTGCGCTGCTTTGTGGCGCTTGCTTGCGAGTGGAAGCGCCGCTTTGGTATTGCATTCGTTTTATTCAACTCGGTGTTGCTCAACTCCTTGGGATCGAAATTGCATTTCTCTAAACTCTGCGCGTAACTTGTGCGCAAATTAGTGGGATCTTGATCGAATGTCTTGCCGTAAGACTCTGTTGTTGTGTGCTTGGTAGGCGTCTCAATGGAAAAGAGCTGCACGTCGCTAACTAAACTGTGAGTGGCCTCCGATTTGCGTGCGTGCTTTTGACGCGCGGGAGGCTTGCGTATGGTCAATTGCACATGCTGCGCTGCTGAATCCACCTGCTCGTCGGCGCAACCGGCGCTACCGCCAACACTGTCCAAATCCGAGTAACTCGAGTTGGAGTGCTTGCGCTGACGAGGTGGTGGGCGCGGACTGCAGCTCGGACGATCCGCAACATTTACTGCTGCGTTGGGCAACAACAACAACTGCTCTTCGCCGTCAATCGGTTTATCGTTCAAAATCGAAGCATTGCGGTCGTATATTTGTGAAAGTTCATCGAGTAAGAAATTGCCTTTGCAAATAATATTCTCATAATCGGCGCTGGCCGTGCTCTTGGGCGTGTCCATGTTGTCGCTGTTGCTGTTGATGTCGACGTCGCGTTCGCCGTCACCAGCCAAATTATCGCTGCAACGCTTTAAATTAGACTGTGCGCTGATACGCTGCTGCAAATCTCCTTCCAGTTGTTTCCGCGAATAATCCAATTGCGTTAAATCCTGATAGCTGGCGTTCATATAACCCAACGATTGTGTAGCCCAATGCCTGCCGCCCTCACGCTGCGGTCTACTGCCGAACGCCGCCTCGAACCGCTGCAAATTCCGTTCGCGCCGCTCTGACCAACTGCAACTACGTCGTATTTTCAACGATGTCGCAGTGTCGAAAAAGTCCTCGTCCTCTGCCTCTTCTACACTGGAGCTGCTGGGGCTAGTCTCGGTTGCGATATCCTCTTCCGGTGACGATTTGCAATGTCTGTGACGTGTGTTCACACGCTTTTTGCGTCCCAATTTATTCAGTTCACTTGGTACACTCGAAATGCGCCGTCCACCGGTGACGTAACCACCAATACAACTACTTTCGGCCACAGCTCTACCACCACCGCCACCACCACTGCCACTGTTGTAGACGCGTTGTCGCTTTCTAGCCTCTGGCGTCGATTCTTCGCCCGTTTCGTCACTGTGACTTTCACGCGGCGATGCCGATGTCGTACTCAAGTCCGAATCGTCTAAATTGGACGGTCGACTCGTTGTGCCACCCGTTGACCGTTCGTCAGTGCACCTAATTTCACTTTCCAACGTCTTCGTTTCGCTCCGTAAATGCTCCAGCCCGTTGCCGTTTGCGTCGCTCGCGTCGCTGTTGTCGGTGCGTTCTTCCGAAAATACAGGAAAATCTGTTTCGATAACAGTTTTGCAGGTTGTAGTACCTAACGCGTCGCGTATATCTGGCAAACTGTTTCGTAGACTTGCACAAAAATTCTCGAGAGTCGATCGATGCTGATGTTGCGCTGCTAATAGCTCTGAATTGGAGGTTGTTGACGAATGCCGTTGCTGCGCTCGTTCTAATTGTAGCTGTAGTTGTAGTTGGTGTTGTTGCTGTTGCAACTGTCTCGGTGTTGGTAGCCATGTGAATGAGGCGGCTGAGGCGCATGTCGATGCCGAGGTGGAGGATCGCGTTGTGCCGCAACTGCTGCCCGACGATGATGCTGATGATGAGGAGACATCGGACGCCACAGGCGAAGGCGAGTGCGCCAACGAGCGGCGCTGTTCGAGTAGCATGGCGGTAGTCGTCGCCTCTCGCGTTGGGCTATTTTTAACACGTTCATAGCGTGGACACGCCAATACATGGCGCGTACCAATAGCTTCTGTATGTACATCATGCTCCTCGCCGTCGAATTCCTCCTCTACATCATAGACGTCGCCTTCGTGGTCGTCTGCTGCTGCATGCTCTCCTTCATCACACTTGCTGGCTGCTGGCAGTTGAGATGCTTGTAGTGGCGGTGGTGTGGTTCGCGCATTGAATGATGTTTCGTAGTCTTCGTCGTCCGCCGCTGCTGCTACGATGAATGTGGCGTCATTTATTTTTGGCTGACATATTTCATGTCCTACGACGACGTAATGCTTTGTAGACGCGACATCGCCGCCTAAATTGTTGTTGATGATGTTGTTTTTGGAATGTTGTTGCTGCATTTGTTGTTGTTGATGTGTTGTTTTTGTCACACTGTCAACGTCCTCAAACGCATGCCGTTCCGACGCGTAGTCATACTGCTGGAATTCCTCTTCTTCCTCGCAGAATTTCTCGAAATTTTTTGGTATACTTTTCGATTTTGTGCGCCGCAGCGTCGACGGCTCGCAGTAGCCCGAGTCTTCGGAAAGATTTTCTGCCGAACTTTTGCCTGCGCGCTGAAATGCCATCATGCGTCCGGCGCGCGTGCACGCCGTGCTGCTCGAGTCAGTTAAATCTTCCGCTGATGGCTTCGATGCCGTCAAAATACTGTTGCCTGATGAGCTGCCCGAGCTGGTAGATGATTCCGAATCTGATTTCACCTCACCCACAGTAGCCTCCATCAAATTCGATTTGCTAGCACCACCGAATAGCACGCGCTGGTCATCATCAAAATTCAGCTTATCTAAATCAAAGTAAGTCTGATGCAGTCGCCCATCGGACGACTCGAAGCGCTTAAGCAGCGAAATTTGTGAGCCACGACGGCTATTGTTGCCAGAGTTGCTGCCACTATTAGCGCCGCTACGCACGCCATCTTCGCTGCCATTCAAAGCACCAGTGCTGCGCGCGCCATCGAAGCTTAGCAATGAGGGCGATGAGTTGCCCAAACTGGACATGCTCGCGTGCTGCTCCTGCAGCTGTAGCTGACGCTCCAACGACTCGAATTGTATCAGCGAGGACGAACGGCTGAGTGAGTGGTAGGAAATGCTATCCGAATCGGAGAATTCATCGAAACGCCGGCTGCCAGTACTGTTGCGTTGCTGCTGCTGCTGCAACACTGGTTGCGATTGTTGACCCCAACTGTCGCGTGTGCAGGCCTCATAGGCCAGAAAGCGTTCTAGGCTATTGCTGTTCGCCTCATTGTAGTCGCACGGGCGCTGGGTGCGGCGCAACAGCACAGTATCATCAAAGCTGCCCGAAATCGGCGGCTGCTGTTGAGGAGGCTGTTGTGTGGCCGAGTGGACGACAGTGGATAGCTGGCCGCCTATGATGAAATCGTCGCAACGACGTGCGCGCTTAGCAGGACAGGCGAAATCGCGCTCTGAAATCGAATCGGGATCTGAAAAGAGCGAGGGAGAGAGTTATTATAAATTATTTGGGAAGAAATATATACTCGGCATTATTACCTTTATTAACTTCGATTCTTATGACAGAGCCAGTCTCCGATTCAGTGGAGCTCCAAAAATGTTCTCTGCCCTGCTCATACTGATTCCAGCTGTTTTGCGCGTGCTCCTCATCCTCCGACGTTTCTTCGAGTATGGGCTCGAGCATTTGTCGTGAGCTGGACAAGTAAATGGCATCTGGAAATGAAAATAGGCGATTATTAACATAAAATGCTACACAAAAATACAAGGAGGCCCGCTAAATTATTTCTACTGTATGAGTACAAAGCGACAGACCTAAGCTTTGGGCGCGCCATTTTCGCATCGTGCCAGCTATATTTCACCCGCTTGCGTCTTATAGTCCTCTATGTACGCTTTGGGCGCTTTCTAAGCCACGCGGGTTACTCCTACAATTGCAAAAGCTAAACCGTTTCTAAACGCGCCCAACAAACAACTAATCAAGGGAGACCTTTTCAGCAATATACCGCTTCAGCGGCTTCATCGACTTGGTTGCAGTGCACGACATAACATGTACTGCTACGGCGGCTGGCACTGCAGCTGTCTCCCGTATGATTGCATTCCGTGCATGTGTGCGTGCTTCGTTGTTTGTGTGTGTGTGTGTGTGTATGTGTGTGTGTGTGCTAGCTAGAGATCACTACGATCATTGCGCGATTGAGAGGGGGGTAGACTGAAAATACTTTGCAAGCACTGCAAGTCTCAGACAGTTTGGGGAATAGAAGACGAGCACACAGACCCAGAGTCTGTTGATGGATGGAAAAAATACATACGTAGAAGAAAACACCAAACGAAAACAGATCAACTTTGAGGAACTGTATTGTCGGCAGCATGGAAGAAGACAACAACAACACAATTATCCATCTTCATCTTCATCTTCATCTGCATCTGCAACGCCTTCTACGTCTTTGGCTCCAACGTTGATTTGTCTGTTTTGCTGCCTCATGAATTTTTTCCCTTTTACAGTTGATTATTCATTTGCTGCGCATATGATTCATTCATGATCACGATTCATTTTTGCTGACGTTGCGAGCGCATCCAACAGCCTGCCCTAGCGCTGGCTTGCCTTAATCTTTGGTCTCTTTCAGCGCCGACAATCGTCGTTAATAATAAATTTATTAATTAAGTGCAGATAAAACAGCAGTGAACGGTTGCCAGTTTATGGTCGCCCTCTTTTCTTTGCTTCTTTTCTGTTTTGCTTGCTGTGCAATGACGCGCAACACTGCAACGCCGCAATGCCGGTAAACGTTGCCGTTTATGCAGCAACAAGCGAAGCTCTTTCATGTGGTGCTCGCGAAACTGGCACAGACGGTATTTATATGCGCAGATCCGCTCAAGTCAGCTGTGGCATGCAGCATATTTTTATGCCTAGCACTGAGTTCGTGCTCTTTGGCGTGGTTCCATGGCCGTAGCGAAAAAATGCTGAGTCGCCCTGCTGCTGCCACTTTTAATGGCTAATTGTGACAAATTAATAAATGTTGCAGTATGATTGTGTCTTTGTTTAGTCATATTTGACCTCAAATGAAAGCCAATGCATATTTGCAAAATTGCTGAGTTGATCGTAAGCGATGCAAGCCCGCTTCGGTTCTTACTGCTTAAGAGTTGTATAGTTGGACGATTCCCAAAACTCTTGAACAAAAAGATTAGGAGGGAGGGCCTGACAAGATAGCCTGATTCCTTATTCTTTACCGAAGGTCTCCCATACAGTTTGTTACTGACCCCTGTAATGTACTCTAAGTTAAGGTAGCTTCCAGCAGTCTATTGGCTGCTCAACTGTATGACGTCAATAAAGGCGATAAACATCTGCTTTCATAGCCAAGCAACAATCAGGCGTCTAGGCTCAATTAAGGTGCATCTCAAATTAGTCAGGGAAAGACTAGCCTCTCATTTGTCTGCGTCAGAATGTTTTGCAGATAGAGTAATGAGTATCAGACCGTAGAAAATACTGCCTGGTGCATGAAATGACTAGGAAAAGAACCCTACCTCAACGCGGAGTCAAATAGCAAGGAGAGGGTGGAATGCCATTGACTTCTTGCAGCGTACTCTTGCATGGAAGAGACTCATGTCAGCTTAGCGAACGCTGGGCGCCAACAAAGAGAGTTGGAACTCCAAGGTTATGCTGGTCCAAGACGGAGCGGATTTGTGAGGTGGAAGGGTTGGAAAGATTTCTTACAAGTTTTACAGCCTTTGCAAAGCTGAGTTCGTACTTCCTAAATAGCTTGAGAAGTTCTCTATGTCTTCGTTGAATGTCATTTCCTTTCCAAAACATGGTGGTATAAAAAATTACTAATTTCATTGGCCAAAGTGTGCATCTTGAGTGAGATAGTCACCATTACTGGAGCGAACCGATTGTAACAGATTAATCCAAAGAAAATGCTTCAGAGTGTTAGGACTCAAAAAATGGAAGCGATATCAGGCAGCTTTCTTGGTTCAAGTTCTTGGCATAAACGAGCCAGACTTGACCACATAGCTATTTCTCGGACAGCGAAATGGCAATTAGGACTTATTGACTCTTTGAACAAAGGTTGGGTTTCTCCGCCACATACTTCCATGTAATTAATCAGAAGTAAGAGCACCTTCTTGTTCAGCTGTACAGGCCCTTATAACATAAAAATTTGCTTTCTAGGCGGGATTGAAAAAGAGTTGGCCATAAAGGAATGCACGCTCGGAGTTTTTCTCGATATCGAGGGTGCTTTCAACAATGTCTATCCGAAGTCAGTTTCCAATTCCCTCCTTATGGTGGGCGTGCAACGGGGTCTGCTGGATTTGATTAGGCTGCTTCTCAAAAAGAGAACTATTCTATCAGAACTAGGGGACGGCTCCATTACAAAGTATATGACCAGAGGCACTCTCCAAGGGGTCGTTCTCTCCCTCTACTCCGGAACCTAACTGTTAACGCCTTACTTCTAAGCCTAAAGGGGGCCGGTTGTCAGGTCATGGCGTACACTGATTACATAGCAATCGTGGCAACGGGCAAACATCTGCAGGTCCTGAGTGGGTTATTGCAAAATGCGCTCAGTCTGGTAAACATTTGGTCCAAAGAATGTGTACTTAGTGTCAATCCTACTAAGACAGAAATTGTACTTTTCACAAGGAAGTATAAAACTCCTGTATTTAAACCTCCCACCCTAAACAGGGGGGTGGGGTTACTCTCTCAACCGAGGTCAAATACCTTGGAGCCATTGAAGACCGCTCCAGGAAGGCCAATATCGCCCTGTATGCCTGTAAGACGGCTATAGGCAAAAAGAGAGGAATAAAACCACACATAGTACACTCGATGTACACAGTTGTTACAAGACCCATCCTTTTATACAGGATCACTGTATGGTGGCCTGCGCTAAACAACACTTTGTCCAGAGTCTAGGTGGAACGAGTGCAGAGGACGGCTGCTATGCTCGTCAAGAGAGCACTGCCCACTACACCCACCAAATCATTGGAAATAATGTTAAATCGTTCACCTGTGGATCTCTACTGCAAATTGCTGCAGTGCGGCCAGGTTAAATACGATCCAGCCGTGGACAGACTTTAGATGCGGACACGGAAAAGCACTTGAAACTCTATCGGATAATCAGCGAAAGACAGATTATGCCACTCCTCTACTCTGTTTAGACAACAGATTATCTATAAGAATCCCAGAAAGGAACGAATTGGAAGGGGCCACATACTTAAACCCAGGGTCTGCAGCTATACATACAGATGGTTACAAGCTTAACCAAAGAGTGGGTAGCGAGAGTTACTCTGTTGAACTCGCGCTAAACCTCAGTTTTCGCTAACCGCCATAATGGAGGCAGCTCGGTGGCTCATAACCTCCGCCAGGTCGGCCTATCGCTATTTATTCTGACAGCCAAGCTGCTATCAAATATTTCAAACCTAACGGTACAACATCCAAAGTAGCTATAGGCTCAACTCTCAGATTAGTAGCCGTAGTGATGGGCACACACCCCAAAAAGGTAAGGATACCCCACCAACGATTTTTTTTTTGCAGTTGCGCAGAGACGTGGAAGAGGTGCAGAGCTTCGTACATTATCTCTGCCATTGTCCCGCCCTTGCCAACACGCGCAACCAATTCTTCAGCAAGTACTTTTTACATTGTTTAGCCGACATGAACTTGGCGAACGTCCTCGACTTTTTTGTGCTATATAAAACGCACCCGGTGGTTAAATTACTAAGGGAGGGAAAGAAAGAAATATGGCTTCGGCCAGTGGTATCACAACAGGCTTTTCCAGCGCCGCGAAGAGCGCAGAGTTACTCTAATCTAACCAAACCTAGGCAGGGCTTTCTTTTTACCCTAAAACCATGATGGGCATGGGAAAATATCTGCCCATGAAGTGTTAATTTTTGATAGCTTTCAAAGCTTCTAGTAGGAATTGTGACCAAATATTTGCCTTTCGGTTCGGTCTAGGTGGCGCTGCATGGTCAACTCCTGGCAGGGTATTGCTTAGGTTGCTTGAAAATGGCAGCTATGGCCAATTGATTTAGATTTTGTGGAAGTTTCTAAGCGATTTGAGAAAGAGACAGGAATATTCTTTAACCGCACAACCAGGGTATCAGATGAAGGTCAAGTGACGTTCGTTGTTTTTGATAACATCACGGTCCCACCCACATAAATTCAGCTACGCTGCAAGCGCAGCAAATTTAACCACTTTAAGCATCTCAGAAATCTTTATGAGAAACGAATTCTTTTTTTCTAATAGAATTATCGCTTCATTTGCATCTATACTGGCCTACTATTTTATCATCCCTATAGTACACTCACTACCAATTATGCTCGTTTACATAAATAGTATTTAGCCTGTATTCATTTCCACTCACCTTGTTGATCGAATGCCGACATATTCCATAGTGTTGGCGTGCTGATCACACCTGCCAAATCCAAATGCTCCATATCGTCGGTTTTAGCTTAAATTTTCTTCAATCACGATTTTTCGGTTGAAATTTTTCAATTTTCCTCAATTGCCCCTACAGCTTAAAATACGATTCCTTTCTCTTTTTTCGTGCTGACCAACAAAAATTGTTTGTTCCGTTGTCAGCTGCGGTAAAAGCATACCGTTTTCGTTGCACTTTCGCTTATGCAATCACTGCCCAAGTGGCACCAATACTTTTTTTTCTTATTGGGTTTAAATGCTATTTACTCTGCCTCAACGATTTGCTACATTCGATACGTACGTAGTAAGCAGTTCACACGTTTCGGCTTTTGTGCAATTGTTAAAATTAATAATCGATTTTTGTGTTCTTTGAATTCCGTGTAGATGCCTTAATAGATTTGCTTAGATTAAAAATGGCAAGCGTTGGCAGTTAGCTTCCATAGCACAAAACATAGCAATAGCACTTTTCGCTTTTGTTTATTATTACTTGTATGTATTATTGTTTCGCGTTTTTTTTTTTCCTTATTAAGTAAGTACATATTCTAATTGCTTTTTATATAGCACCAAGTTCAGCATTCGTACAGAATTTATTAAATTTTCGATAAGCGAAAATGATATCTGGAAAGATAAGAAAATATATATGAAGGCACGTTAGTAAAAGATTACTTGGGTGATTAAGGAATGTTTGAACTTTTGCTTTTTTTTATAAAAATTTTCAGGCGGCCAAGGTGACTTGGTGACTGCATTTCAGCGCATGTAATGTATGCATATATATACATATAAAAATTTAAATATATTTTTACAAATGTAGGTATGAATAAGTTCGAATAATTGCCAATGTCAGTGTTTCCCAAAGTGTGTAACAAGACCTTCAGGGATGTATATAAAACTTTGAAGAAGTGAATGAGTCTATTCATTACCGAACAACAAATGAATGCGATAACTGCGTCCTTTTTTTGGAAAAAAAATGGGTATAAAGTGTGGCTTATAAGCAGCATGTCAGTTAAGACTCAGATTATAATGAAACTTTTTATATATAAAACCAGTTTGGGAAACACTGCTCTAAGTGCACACTCGACTATATGGAATTCAAAATGCAACGCTAATTCGTCGCATCTGAATATTCTGGAATTATTGCGCCTGGTAGCAAAGAGACCTCATAGATATAAAAATGGAATGGAGAAAATTGCAAAAAAAAAAAAATGCAAGTCTTATTTAATTCATTCTATTTTGAAAGGCAATTTCAAGAAAGTGGGCATGTTAGTGTTTAGGTAATAACTACTAGCTACTAGAAATTTGTCTGGTATGTGTTTACATAAGTAAAATTCTTTAGTTTCGATTTTAAAGGCAACTTCAATACCAGCTAAGAGAAAAGTAAAAGAATGAATGTAATCATGCTTGGCGGAGTTTTGATATGAAATAGGTTGCATGTGAAGTTTTGCGAAAAATTATAATTGAATTTTTTGTAGTCAACGAAAAAAAAAACAATTACTTTCCTAAAAATATCAGAGTTGATATTTTGTCAATATATTCTTAATGGATATATTTATAATGGCGTTATCCATATAGAATTATTATCGATATACATAACTATCGGAATATTTATCGATATAGGTATCGACACATCAATCGATATGTTTTTCGATATATTTATCAATGCGATTATTAATATTTTTTTTTTTTTTTAATATATTTTCGCTATATTAATCGATATCATAAGCTTGGTAATCGATATCGATGTAAATTACATAGGTTTTGCAGTAACCATAGGAAATGAGCAATTTCAACAGAGTCGGAGAGAAGAAAGCGAGAGCTCGTTAGTAGATGCCTAGCACAGTGGTCTGAATGGAGAAACTGGCGGGATGAAATACTAAATATCGAAGTCTTCAAATCGGTACTAGGACCAAATAAAATATATTAGGAATGTTTAATAAACAGGCCCATCCACTCTAGTATTTGTACGAATGTCCAATTTTTGCATTTTTCACTTGTAAACGCGACGGTCCAGAAATTCCTTAAAATCTCTGAGTTCGCTAGAAACGTATTCAGCACTTTGATCAAAACATGTTTTTTTCATTATAGTGAAAATGGTGACGTTTAATCGCGTAATTTTAAAAATTAATAATTCTTCATTTATAATACTGAAATATTTTTGTAAGTATAAGTAAAATGTAAGTATATTAGATTTCAAAATTGCAGAAAAAATGTTAGCCAAATTTTGAAAAAAAAAATATTGACATATTCATATTACTTCACATATAAACTACACACACACTAAAAATTACACCCAACTTTTGTCAGCTTTGTTTAGTACTTGAATTTAGGAGGAACCAAATTTTCACTATGTTCTATTAAAATCCACAAATTTTTTAAATTAGAAAGCCATCATATTGGACCCATCATTTTAAATTTTTGAAACCTGCTTTCAGGTTCGTAACAGCTACCATAAAAACCCCTAAATACTATCAAAAACACCCGAGTAACAAACGAGCGAATGCAATAAATTTCTTAAAATTATTCCGCCATATTGGATCCGTCATTTTGAATAAAAAAAAAAAAAAATGCATTGTCAGATTCATAATCAGCGACCCCAAAAACCCCCCCCCCCGTAACATATTGGGTTCCTCCTTTTTAAACCTGACTGAAGATTTGTAATCACTAATCAGTGGTATCATAAACTAGTAAATGAGAAAATCCATCAGCGCGACTCTGTTAAAATCGTTTTGTCCCGCTAGATTCTCTATTCAGACCACTGTGCGTCGGCTTGAGTAGATGGTTTTAGACAAGAGGTCCCCACTGGATAGATAAGAATCAAGTCTGTTTAAAAAACGAAGTTGCGCTACGCGGAATTTTATTTACATATTTCGACCTTCGCTTGCAGTCGATGACGATTAAATTCCCACGAGAGCTGGAAAACTATCGATAGTCGTTCTATAAATGATACGTTGACCCGGATTTGAAACTTCAAACTAAAACTATGTTCACATATCAATATTATCTCAATCAAAGCTCGTTTTTTAATCACCCCGTTTACACAGGCAAATCTCAGATTATTAGCCGTCAAATTTGTTGTGCTTGTTATTCTTACATCTCAAGGAAAAGTTATGTTTCTTCTCTGTGCCACCGTGATCACGTTTTTCTGCAATAATAAGCAATATAAATATATTTTAACTTAACTTTTTATTAAAAATACCCTTACAAACCTCTTTTACTTGCTAGCGTACATTTTTGTTTACTTTTACATTTGGCATTTCTCCTCTCTTTCGCAAAAACAATCGATAAAACTAGGATGGACACCGAAAAGTTATCGGTTAAATCTGAGATTATTTTATAATTACAGATTAACAAGGGACGAATTTTGAATGGCTAATCTCTTGTTATAATTACAGATTAGGGTGTTAAGCTCGAAAATGAGGATAATCTACTTATATGTGAATCTAGTATAAGATCCGATGGCGATGCAAATGAAAGAGGAATTAATCCGCTAGGTAGCGCAGGTGACGAAATATTTGAAAAGCCTGTATTTCTTGGTCCGATATGGTTTATATGTGGAATGTATATTACTTGCAAGAAAAGAAATAACATCACAAATTTTTTTTTTTTTTTAAGATAGGTGACGCAGGAGTCGATGTATTTAAAAAATCCGTATTCATAGTGGAATGGAAAGAAATAACTTTACTAACAAATTTTGACGTTGGGTTGTGCAGAGGGCCGATTTTTCTATTTTTATTAACCACTAATAAAAGCTTGTACATAAGATTTAAAATTTTTTTTAATTACTTGTTTTTATTTTTTATTTTTAAATTAATTTTAATTATTTTTTTTTTTAAATTCTAGCTTACTGTCTAACAAAAACCATATAAGTCCAAATTTCAAAAAATAAAAAATAAATAAAAGTCTACAGTTTGATCAATATTTCCCTGCTGTTTTAAACATTTTAGAAAGTTTCTTAGCACGCAGTTTTATAGTCCATTCAATTTTAGTATAATAAAGTGAATGTTCGATTTTTGGCAATTTTTATTTTTTTTGCTAACGGTATTACGCATTTTCTTCCATATAAAGAAAGTTTGCATTTTCGTTCAGCGTTAATTCCAATTAAATAGTGAGGAACAATTTTAAAACTATCGACAGTGACTAAACTGCATCGATAGCTTTTAAAAAGGTTTGTGTTTTTCAACTCTGGTTGGTTGGTTGGTTGGTAGAAGCGTCGCCTGAGTACATTCCCAGGACCCAATTAGTGCTGAAGGCACCATTTCGATGCGCTTTCGCTGGGATCCTTGATTTTATCTGCTTTCATGATTCGTTGAGTTCGTCAAACCATTTGGATTTTCCGATGAATCTATTTAGGTTAGTAATGATGAATTTGGAAATCTCTCCAAGATTTTGTATGCAAAAAGTCTCGAGTGTGTTCTGCCTTATTTGTGTCAATGCTGGGTACTCGCATAGATAGTGTAAGACCGTTTTTTTACTTCCCTCAAGATTACAGCTACGGCACCGAGGGTTATATGGAAGGCCCATTTTAGCTGCATGTTCGCCAATGGGCCAATGTCCCGTTATCGTGGCTATTAATTTGACAATATATTTCCTCGATCTCTTGAAAAGTTCGTCTGTCTGTGGCTTGTCATAATGCGGCCATATGTTCCTCGTAGTTTTGCAGGTTTGAAGGTTATTCCAGCGTGTATCAGCCATACGTATGAATTGCAGGTGCAGGCAGTTCCGTTTTGATGAGTCCGAGTGGACAATTTATAGTCTCTGCTTCGGATTCATCATAAGATGCTCCGGCCTTAGCCAACTGATCAGCCCTATCATTTCCGTGTATGTTCCTATGGCTGGGAACCCAGATGAGAGTGATGTCTATTAACCCGGCCGCCGAGCTTAACGCACATTGCCAATCTCTGAGAAAATGTATGCTTTTCGCAGTTCCTCTCTATTACTTTACAGGCCCTTTCGATGTCCACTACTTCCGCTTGGAAGATGCTAGCAAAGTTAGGTAGTTGAAACGAGAAAGAGAGACATTCAGCGTTTCAGAGAACATCTCCGCACCCAGCTCTACTCGCCAGATCCTAAGGTTTCTTCATTTATGGTCGGCCATCGCCGGTGTACTCACGGAGAGGTCTCCTAATTTGCAGGTCAGGCCGATCTGCTTCCAGCTGGAATGATCACTGCTGATTGCAGTAAAATCTGTCGGTAATCATGTCGAGATGTTGCTCTGCGATCATAAAGAGGCTGCACTGAGTAGGGTAGGTATGAGGTCTGATCTGCTGTTGTCTGGTGATCTTTTTGGTGCTCCATAACTAATGACGGGAAGGGCCTTCCACTTAAATTTTGTCAGCAATATTTTTTTATCGTTACCCAAAGTATTGTTAGAAAGTAATTTAAGGACCTTGCTGCGGCTCTATATTTAGCTTACTGACGATAACAGGTGTGTGCACGGAGAATGAAGGCTGACATTCAAATGTGACTCCAAATGTTTTTGAGTCGCTCACAGTCGGATTTGCTTTGTCGTCAATCTTAGCGGCAAGATTCAGTCTGCTCTCCTTGGCGCAACACGTCAATAGGGTTACATTTAATTCAGTCGATAAGAAACATAATAAAGTTACGCATAGTAAATAAGCGAG